AAAGCTATTGCTGAACAGAAATAATACAGCGAATTGAATATTAATTATAGAAAACATTTTGAAGTCTAACTAGACAATTCAAACTTAATCAACAAACACACCTATGATTTGCATCTCGCCCCGACAGTACTATCTTGTAGTTCTTTTGTTTTTCACACTTTTAATTGTCCATGAATCTAATAATTTTCCTGTTTTGTTTTGTTTCTAGGTATAAAAGGTTGCAATGGCTTAACAGGCTCAGTATACACAGAATTACTTGCAATGCTATCCAGGTAAGGAACGTAAACCATTGAATTCTATCAAAAATGACCCAGAATTCTATGAAGTGTGAAATAAGAGCTTTAATAAAATATGTAGTTTACCGGTACTATAGTTCGGGACAATTCTTATATGAAAATATTAAGCCTAATTTAACATCCTTGTTAAGTCTAGTACATCCTTAATAGTGTTTCATAAGTTACCAATGATATCTTGAATCGGTGATCTCAAATGATCTAATAACATAATAACATAACTTTAGTGGTGTTACTACACCATCAGCATTCTCATGTTTTAAACTGAATTACAGGAATTATGCAAAATTACATTCTTGTCTGTTTTTATTAGGAAATTAATTTTGGGAGACAATGATTACATTATAATATACTTTTATTTCAGGGATATTTCTAGTGTGATCTCTGAAAAGTTGCTGAAAAAAACACAATGCCGTGATTATGAAGTTGTACCATATGATGTGTATTTCTCGGGTGTTTTAGCATGTCTTGTCCTTAAAGGTATTTACGAATTTTCAATTTGTTCTCAGATGTCTCATTATTTGTAGCTACTTGCTCAAAATGGCCGCCAATCGGCCTCTTACAGTAACTCCCATGGTAATGTTTGAATAAGATCATCACAGACACGCTTGATGAATATTTGATGATACTTTTTTTTTTTTTTTTTTTTAATAAATATTTTTGTGCCAGGCGACAGTTCTGGATATTGAATGTCACCGTTGTCTCTCCTGACTTTTTTTTTTTTGTATGTGCAAATTGCAAGTGCTAGTGCTGACACATAGTGCATTTTGCCACAGAAGTCATATTCATGTTTGAGACTACATGACAGGGCTGTGTGGCCATCTCTCTGTCAAATGGCAATTTTAATGCGCTATCCTGGCGTCAACCAGGCTCGGTCGAACACAAGCACCTGCGGACCTTAATAAAGGTTCCCCCAAAGTCGCATTCGTTAGTGAATGAATCTCGGCCAGTGGAATTGGCCTTCCCATTGAGTCTGTGGCACACTCACCCAGGGTAGGGGTTGACCCTTTGATGTTCAGCCTAAGGTAGGATTTGAACATGGGTCTACCGATCATGAGTCTGGAGCGACAACCACTATGCTACCAGTGACCGGTTGATGATACTTAAAATATGGTTTATTCTGGAGACAAAAATGGTTTTGAGCCAGTTAATTGTCATTACCCTGGTACATCCAATATAAATTGGGGCGCATATCTGTACCATTGTGTTTTGCTAATGTACACAAAGCCATTCAGAGTTTGACAGATAAAAGACAAGGATATTCAAATTAATATATGAAATGGACGCTAGTTAGCCATGTTAAATTGAGTCACAAAGTAAAATGACATATATCTGTAACCCATCTTGTGTGATGTTGATGTAGACAGTTCGAAAACTGAGACTTATGCATTGACCTCCGTGCATTTGCTCGTCCATGTGTGTGTGTGTGTGTGTGTGTGTGTGTGACCATTCCCCTTTTATCTGAAATGCAAATCACATTCAAACTTTATAGATACATTGTACATCATGTTGCACATATGTACATTTATTTGTTCGACGATCTAATTCATGATTGTCAAATGGCAGCCAATGTAAAAAATGCAGTTCTAAAGTATTGGTTAATATAGCTTAATTACAACCCTTTAAAATAAAGTTATATGGAATCTTTCACTTTCAAATTATGATACAAGACACAATAACATAAAAAAAATTCTATTTGAACGAAATCTGAAATATGGTCTCATCGTTAAGTCTTTTTCCAGAGCTTTTTCGGACACCCCTCAACTAATTCTCTTCAGTTCTCAGACTTATCTGATACATATGCATGTTTGGTGAGTTTATGTTTTTGTCAAAGACGGGCAACTGGCAGCCATTTTAGTTGTGAAAATGCAGTAAAATCTAATATTTTCACTTGTCCGAGACCAGATCTCGAGCATGTGCAGTTAAATCTTCTCAAACTAGGTGGAATGATTAACCAGTATTAGTAGTTAATGCATATGTCACTTCAATTGGTAAATTTGATGAAATTTGTATTTAATAACCTCTATCTAGACGTATTTCTTGTACTTGCCTTGAGTAATTCATTTCAAATTACATAAATTGATAGAACATCATGGCACACATACAATTTTGTCATCTGATCAAAGATAGCAGACTATTTTAGTCATAAAAACGATGAATATCAGGTATTTTGACACTTCCTGAACCAGATCTCAGTCAAGGTACATATTGTTGTGGCAAATTTTGAATAAATTGTCATTATTTATTATTATTATTATTATTTTAAATGAGATGTTATTTTTCCATTATATAATTTAGGAATTTTTCTGTGTAATCAACATCCTACATGCACAGTAAATGCCAAATTCTAATAAGGCACAAACATGTAAAAAACACTGATAATTATTTTGTATATTTTATGCATTACCCTGGTAGGTACTGATTATTATCAACAAAAACATAATTCTATGGTTTTTAACATTAAATACACAATAGAACATTGCAAAATTATTGTTTTTTTTGATATTTTTTATCTCATTCAGATTACATAAAAGAAGCACAAAGTTTATTTAATGAATTTGATATATCAAAATCAGGACATGCAAACAGAGAACTATGTGATGCAGCTCTCAATCTATTAGATGAATCAGTTACTATGACTACCAGCAATCCTGTCAGGTAAGATTAGTGTCTCTATATACCATAAATAAATTTCAGAAAATCTATTTATTTTAATGGTTCTGTAAAAATTATATTCAGTCGCACATCCAGTCACTTACTGGACGATGTTTGTTGGTCAATTTTGTGATAAAAAAAGCTATTGCTCTAGCTCTAGAGTTTTGATTTTTCTTCAAGGTTATATGTATCCGTTCAAATTTTGAAAATAATAATGGCAAGGGTACATTAGCCACTGACCTGTATATTACTTCAATATTTAAGTCTGAGTTTATCAATGAAGAGCACTCTACATTCTGTAATGGCTGGTCTCTAGAAAGTGCAGTTACAGCTTGGTAGGGTAGTCCCCGTTCTGACATAATCCAAAGCGGGGACTCATAGATTGACCTCTCTTTGTGTGTTTTCGAGTGTCCATGCTTGCAGATGGACCTATATCTTAGACATGTCTGGACCAATTACATTCAAACTTCACATCATACATAATGCTATACATATGCATATCATTGTCTATTTCACTTGTCAACTAAGGTTTTTCAGTATATGCAAACAAGTATATTCTTCTGATTTTCTGGATGTCCTTTATTAACCAGGAACTTTACCAATCACTTTTACTTCTTCTCAGGAACAGAATCACTTTGTTGAAATCACAGTCAGTCGCTGATAATGGCTTGCATAGCTCTGTATTAAATCATAGATGTATAGGTTGCGATAATTAGGTTTCTAATTATAAAAAGATGAATAATGCTGAATGCCAATATTTTGTAACTTCCTGCTACAATTGTGAGGCCACATTTTGTACATTTGTATATATTTTTCTATAATTTCAATTTTGGACTACCTGTAGTTTGGCTGCAGATCTTGATAACAATTTTAAATAGAATATGAAATAAATTATGAAGATTTATTTAGTGAAGGATGACAAAAGTAACATGATTGCATTGTCATACAGTCAATTAAGCAAACATAATTATGAATATTAAATGTATAAGTCAATCAATGATTACTTTAATTGCATAATGATTTTTTTTTCATCTAGTATTTTAGAGGCTGGTGTTAAACTGAGTCCAGATAAATTATGCAGATTATTATCACAGGTAACTATGCATATTTGCAGATATCCCATATAGCTCGCTGTGTAGCTCTGGCTTTTTTACAACATGGTTCATGTATAATTTGTTGATAAATGTTTAAACAGTTGTTATTTAGTTTAATATTGCATGGGTTATGTGTAGCACCAATAATAAGTATACTATATCAGCTAGTGAAATGCCATTATTTGGAATATGGCATCTGTTTTTGAGACAAAAAAAGATAATTAAAGTTTATCATAGTTATGAATAACATGGTTAAACATTAAAATCTGAAAGTTATGGTGTTCATGAGTTGAACTGATCAAAACCTGAAATATTTCACCATTCCAGTTATTGTTGTCATCACTACAATAAAACCCATCATGCATTGCTGTTCATTTAGTTCACTCAGACAATGCGGCAACATGAAATAATCATCATATGAATCCAACGTGAGGGATGTAACAAGAAACAACCACAGTGTAGCTCTCAATAGTCTGGCATATCAAGAAATTCTTAAATGAGAATGCTTCACATCAATTATTAGTACCCATCCATCTTGAGCACGCTGAGCCTGTTTACTGATTCCTATAGTACCAGATGATTTGACATAGGATAAAATCAGCACATATATAGTTGGAAGACTAGTAATCTTTTTTTCTAGCTGCACTAGTAACTCTTTGAGTGGGGGCACTTCGGTCCCACTCGTTTTCTCCTGATCCCTCGTTTGGGCAAAGGATTTCATCCTGCCCCCCATTTCAGGGTCTGATAGCCATTTTTTGGCCTCTCCCCTCAGATCTCTTGGTTTCTTGATGGCTACCTCAGACCCCCTTTTCAGCTTAGCAGGTCATCCTTTGCCTAGGGGATTAGACTCACTTGTGGGATTTATTTATTTCTGATTTTATGTGAGTATTAGGTTATAGCTTTGTAATTTTATTTTAGTTTATATCTTGATTGACTGCCTTGCCTTATCTGGGTACCAGGTGCCGGCAGTCTCGTTTTGAGTACATATGTGTTATTTGCTCGAGTCATATTTTATCGAATTTCATTGCAATACTTTACCTGTTTGTAGTGTTCGTTACAAATAGATAATTACCCTACATACAAATTTGCAAACTCTCACACCAAAATTATGGTGGGAAAAATTATGGTATTCAAAAGGTTAACAAAATGTAGGCTGTACTGTTCTACAATTTTCACACTTTATTTGGCATTGCTTAATTATTAACATATTTTTTCCATTTTTACACAGTCAGTGTCTGTGAAACAACGAAATACCTCAACCATCACCTGGGAAGAGTTCATGTTAATATCTGCAGATATTTTTCTAAAAAAGGTAGGTTGAAAAATTAAAAAATTGTATTTTATTAAGTACAATATTTCTGGAATGTTTTTGCATTATTTAAATTGTAAGCACGCTTGTTTGAAATTTGAATATTATTGTTTTTATATAATGTAAACTGTATTTTGAAGTGGTATTTAAAGCTCAATATTAAGTTTTTATACCTAATAATGCTGCCTGTAAGTACCGGTAGTTCAGGATATTTAGAAATGTCAAAAATGATGGATATTTTGCCAAAAATATTTTTGGAATATTGGCAATTCTAGGGGGCCAACCCCCAGTACAAAAACATGAAGGTACATGTTGGGCCCCTCAGGCATGTTGTTAATTTCCCTGAGTTCAGATTGAAAAATAGTTGGGTGGGGGAGGTGGGCTGCTAGTATGAGCAGATTGTATTATTGATTATAAAAACTAATTATTGAGTTTTATAAACTTAAGTCATACACCCTAGATAGGTTTTTAGTTTGAAATACTTGATATAATAAGTATTAAAAATTATGCATAAAATCTGACTTATGAAGTCTTCCGCAACACAATTTTTTGTATGGAGTAGCACCAATAATGAATCAAATTACACTCACTTATGTTTTAACCAACAAACCTCATCACTAAGAAATCTTTCACTGATAAAATTAAAGCACTTGGACAGACTAAGGGATGAGCCAACAAAGAAACACCCCCTAACGGTGGGGACTTATATAATAAGTATTAAACTTTCTAAGGCAGAACCAGCCTGGAATTGAGCATTCATGAACATGAGTTTGTACACCTGGCCGATGAAAGATGGATTATTTTAGATTTCTGAACCATTCTCCATCGGAGATGACAATGATTACATGTGCAGTGAACAGCAAAAATTGTAGCACATCATTATGGTTGAAATGGCTTTACCAGATGAGAACACTGTGATCTATTGGGATATATGGCTAATGTGACTGTCAGTGCTGGTGAAGGAAGGATTAAAATATCCATCACTACCACTGACTCTCCTGAAATCTGTGCACCACTCATTTCATTTACTGACTGTGGTAAACACCAGACTAAAGTAAATTACCATGGTAGTATATCATCAATTTGATAAGAAATGTAGACAAATAACGGGTATAGGGAAAGGGACTGTGTCCATTTTCAATATATTTTTTTTAAATATTAAAGCACAAAGCATGTCCAGGTTGAATGACTTAAGTACTAGTACTACATTTGCATGATCAAATCTTGTTTTAAATGCAGCAACTTAATAATATTTCACATGTTGCATCTTCTGGCTTTGCAGCTGTATTTGTTTACAGTTAAGAAACAATATACCGGTATATTAAAAATAATATAACAGTCAAATCCCAATTTTATGTCAATATCATTATTGGCTCTGAAAACAATGTAATCTATAATCATAAAATCAAATCAAGTCAAAATCAGCAATGAATCAAAGATGGTTGACCAGTATTTTTTGTAATAATATAGAATTATTGTATTTTGGCTGCACTCTCCAAAATAGAGATATTCTCCTGACAGTTCTACTACCACTTGGTCATAATCTCAGAATATTCAAATTAATATAAATATAGACGCTTTTTATCCAGGATTAAAAATCCTGAAAATATTTTCTAAATAAAATGAAAAAGTGCTGGTGCTTTTAATGTAAATGTAAATATATTGAAATCCAAAAAAA